AAAACTCGTGCCTCCCAGTCACAGAGGTACACACTTGCGCTAATTCGTGGAATGTTTGTTGTTTTTGAGACCCCGTGGCACTTGCCCATAGAGAGAATGACTCTTCAAAACTCGGAGCCGTCTAGTGCCAGTCTCGAGAGCTCCAATATTTCCGCTCTAACGACGGCGATTGGAGAACAACATCGCTTAATTTCACGCACCCTCGACTTCGTGAATCGGAGGCGTCGTACAAGGACAGACTTGGTAGAAAAGATTTCCCGGTCCCTACTTTGCTTCAAAAGACGTCCGCTTCTCCTGCTGTGGAGTAGTTTTGTGATGTCGCCCTCACTGTAATAAAGTAGAAAGTTGGGCTAGTTGGTTTTGGTTATACATAATGACAAATACACAGCGCAAAAGGACAAAAAGGGAAGAGACACACCCGCACTTACGGTTTCGAGTACCTCGAGGCCTGAAGAGACGACGGGAAGCGGTTCTCCATAGGATTCGGCTAAAGGTCGCCTACACTAACTATTACCTTCATCTTATTGGGAAATTAAAGTCCCCAAACTGCTCCGTATGTGGAACTGTCGAAGATATTCAACACATTTTACTTCAATGTACAAGTAATGATGGTCAGCGAAAACAATTTTTACAAGACATTAGGAAGACTCCGGGACCACCCCTTACAATACAGCACTTCCTGGGGCCATGGAACAGCGAAGACTGTGCTTTAAAAACCACAAAGGCCCTCCTCCGTTTTCTTTCAGCAACAGGCCTAGATAAGAGACTCTAATGCTATGTACTGAACTCTCTTGTCCAAATGGTTGTGTGTGTGTTATGTGTGATTGTGTCTCTTTTGTTCTTTATGTTTCTTTTCCTCTTTCCTAACTCTGTTATATCCCTTACCCCTTTCCCACCAGAGTAGCCAGTCAGGAGATTGTACTCCCGGCTAACATCTCTGATTTCCTTTTATTGCATCAATAAAAAAAAAAAAAACATAAATTAACGTGTAACCTGTGCCATATGTGGGTGCTATGGCACGCGCTGGGCCTTCATAGTCGGTTTCATGAACTCCAACTCTTTGTTGGACAACGAAACAGATGGTGTGCTGATGCAACTTGCTCCTCCACTGTGGATGTAAAAAGCTTCCAGAACCTCTCGGGTTGTTTTGTCCCGGTGTTTTCCCATAACTCTGGTGGCATCAAAAGACGGTTCACATAGACATTCTTTACAGTGAAGTGAAAAATTCCCACCCACCGTGGCTCTGAGGGAGTAGTCGTAGTACGCTGCCTAAACGACAGGGTCCGTGAGCACGACTACTCCCTCAGAGCCACGGTGGGTGGGAATTTTTCACTTCGCTGTAAAGAATGTCTAGGTGAACCGTCTTTTGATGCCACCACAGTTATGGGAAAACACCAGAACAAAACAACCCAAGAGGTTCTGGAAGCTTTTCACATCCAGAGTGGAGGAGCAAGTTGCATCAGCACACCATCTGTCTCGTCCAACAAAGAGTTGGAGTTCATGAAACTAACTATGAAGGCCCAGCGCGTGCCATAGCGACCACATATCATGGCACAGGTTACACGTGTGATTTATAACGACCAAAATATTCTTCTTTCTCTTTTTCTTCCATTAAAATATCTAGCTGCGAGTCAGCGCTCTGTTCTATCCGGTGTGTCTCTTTCCTTTTTGTCCTTTTGCGCTGTGTATTTGTCATTATGTCGCCCTTACTGCTTTGGCGCAGGACAGAGGGTAAATTTACAAAGGATACGATTGTTTAGGTCAGTGGTTCTCAAATGGGGGTCCGCGGACCTTTTCGGGTCCACGAAGGCATCCTTAGGGGTACACGAAGACCTGCCTCCCGGCAATAAAAGTTGTCTTTTTTAAAGATTGAGAATAAATGTTTTAATTTTGGGGTGAGTTTCCTCGTGTATATGTCAATAAGAGATGTCTACTTCACACTAGTCCTTAGTTATATCAATTTATTAAATCATTCTTATATTTAACCTGCAACGTTCCTCTCCTCTCACCACAAACGGGGTCCTCCATCATCTCCGCCGATCTACAAGGGGTCCGCGCAACATCAGTGGTTGAGAACCACGGTTTCGGTCCTCTGCTATCATTTGTTTATTCTGAAGATTGTAAGCTTTTGTTAATCATTGAGATCGGAAAGGCTTAATATGTTCCTCATTGTTACAGAGTGTGCAACGTCAGAGGGTTGAGTATTTTTGTATGAAATTGAGGGCAAAAAATAAGCCATATTGGTCGCAAAGGCGAAGGTTCGGGAGCTGAAACTAGGTCGCTGTGGCCGAATGTGGCCGACATGATCTAGCTGCGTTGCTTGATGTAATCATCATGATTGTTTGTGCCACAACTGACTGTGCAAGTTTGTGCTAGAAAACTCTCAAACAGAGAATTCTGAAAAGATTAATGCTATACACCTTTCCAAAAAGCGCCCCTAGGCCGCCGCCATGTTGCTGATGCTGATGTGGCTGGTGCGACTCTCGCATCCTCTATCAGCTAGAAATTTTCTGCCACTCTCTGGGACTTCGAAGACCCGCTCAGCGCGGTTCTCTACCTACGTTTTTGCGGTTTTGCATTCAACGTTTTCTCGCCTCTCTTGAAAGTTTCCACTTAATTTTTTTTATGCTTGCTGCATACCCTTTTTGTGTTATCTTTCATTGTGAGAAATGAGACTGGTAAGTGCCTGCCATTCAAGCTTTTCTGCTTGACATTCACGGGAAACGAAGGAGTTAAAGGACGTCGAACGACCCTCGACGCGATTTTGCGATCATTGTTCTCCCCCTTCCCAGAGATAATCCGCATAGAATCCTCAGTCATCTCCAAACATAGTTGCCCGTCCGAGTTGGGGTGGGAAATGTGTCAGTCGCGTTTGTTTCTTTGCCTTGGTGCGGTTGTGAAAAAGTAAGCTCTCCCCAAAACGTGCCCCAAGACAAAGTCATCTCGGATTCCGTCCGATCGTCAAGATGTGACTGTGTTATTTGAGATCTTTCTCAAATAAATTCTTTTCAGATAACGCTGCATCGTGTGGTACGTACGATATATTGTTAGAATGTTAACGCTTCCTCAATTGTATGTCCGTGTCCTGTCCATCGGTAAACACATTATTTGTGAGCGTGAAAAATGCATGCCTTTTGGCCCTCTTCTGTTGCAATTTATTTTTGACAGCAAAGTGCTTTGTCGTTTTACATGAAACGAATCCCCCGGCGCCGTCAAAACTTATCGTAAGAAAATAATAAAACACATGTAACTAGCACTATACATTTCAGTCGCATTCGTTCTGTCGCGCGCGTACCCAACAAAAATAATTAAGTTTTTTTTTGTTGCTTTTTTTTTTTTTCTTTTTTTTTAATATTGGACAATGCTTTCTCAATGTCCTCGGGAAAATACATGTACTATGAAACACAAAATAGAGCAGGAAAAGACGAAAATTTAGCCGCCAGCAGCGCTTCAAACTGCGCCTACGCAGGCTGCGCCTATTGAAATCGCAGTCCACTCGGTTAGGGTTAGGAGGGACGCCGGTGAGGGTCTAGGCCTCAAACTCGGTGACTAGTCTCGAGAACGGTTTGTTGCCCCGGGGGTCGAGTGTTTTTTGGAAAGGTGTATACGCACGACGTTGTGCAACTCGACTGGAAATGGCTGTACGCACAGCGCGAAACTTCTTGGGTCTCGTATAAAATGAATTGTCAAAACGGATTGGTGAAGCTGCAGCAAAGCCTTGTAGTAAGGTGGCCACTTCGCATGCAGCGGATCCAGGACCAAATCCGGAAAGCGGCAGGCATACTTTTTTTTTGTCAAACATTTAGTGATATTATCAACGTTTCTTTTTTACAAGTATCTCAGTAAAGAACAAATATCGATGAAATGCCGCTGAACTAAATGGTATGGGACTCTCTTTCCCGAGGTGCAATGGGGCACAGCGGGACTTTGGTTGCTGGCGGAATGCCACGAAGCGGCATTTACAAGTGGGTTAATATTTTTTTAAAGAGCCATCCGCAGACTGTCGCCGGGAAGTGGCGTAAAGGGAGGATTTGGGTGGGTTAGCACGCACCCCAGTGATACACGTGCCATCCCCAACTGCGCCTCCGAAAAAGACGACCCAAATGGCATGAGCTCTCCTCCTCGTGCGTATAGCCATTTCCAGTCAAACTTTACGATGTTGTGTGTGTTGCATCAATCTTCTTAAAGTAGTAAATGGCCAGCAGTGGAGTCACATCATCTGCAAAATATGGATATGCCGTTTTTCATTAATTGCTTCAAGTCTGCATAATTTTATCACATGCTTTATGCCAAGACACGGAAAAGCCGATCTGAAAGGTGGCCATCACGTAGGTACGGAATGAGGACATGAAAGGCTCATTCTGTCATTCCACGTACCCTTGTCTCACTTTTTGCGTGAAGTCTACCTGGTGTACGAAAATGCGGTTTTTTGTGCCTGGTGACTCAACATTTGTACTTGCCAAGAGGTAATGCTTCAGTGTAAAGCTATATCAACAAATCCCTCAGTTCTATGGTCGTCACCGATGTCCAGATGTTTGTATACGAAAGGTAGAAAGTTTCAAAACTCCAATCCGCAACTTTTTTTTAACTTAGTGGTTGTTTTTAGATAGGCGTGTCGATGCATGTTACAGGGAACATAAAACGGCGCAAAAAGGATACTGGGACAAGCATAAGGAATAGAACACTGTGTCTGTGTCTTCTGCCTACGCGTCCATGTTTCCGTGGCACCATGGTACGACGTATCGAGGGCTTTCGGCGGTTGACTGGGGGTCCTCCTAACCTGGTACTCTGTTCTCGTGCTTCTCCCTCAGACACCATGCGGTCTACAAGAAGTCCGCGAAGCCTCCCAGGGTGACTGGAGAAGTGGTGTTTGGTCTCCATCCGGTGCTGCTGGCGCTGAAGATGGGCAGGCGGGAGCTGTTCTCCCTGCACGTCCGGGGCAGCAAGCTGAAGGACACGGGAAGGTCCGGGGCGTCGTCGCTCTGGACAGAAATACTGGGTCTTGCCGAGCAGCGAGGGCTGGCGCCCAAGCGCTCCTCCCTCGCCAATCTAGACCACCTCACCGAGAACAGAACCCATCAGGTGGGTAGCAGGACTCGCTGCGTTGGGCGGTGGGTGCTTTTGGTTTTGTTTAGAGTGGAGCCGTCAAATGAGCTACACTCCGGCCAGGGGTGGCCAGTTGGTCGTACGCAAAGAGCCACAGGAAAAAAACTACAGTTGAACCTTGATTTAACGAAGTCACCGGGACCTGAAAATTATTTCGTTAAATCGGGAACGTCATTTTTCGGGCGTAGGATTGGATAAATTTGAAGTATTAGCACAGCGGCATCCTACGAACTACCGCGGTATCGCATTCGCGCAGTCTACGGGCCGAAACTTTTTAAAAAATGCGCGCACAAGAACTCCGCGAATGAGCAAGAGCACAACTGCGTGCGCGTGTAGATAAAAGAAGAAAAAGAGCTCGCAGCTCTCGAGAGAACGACAAATTTATTGCCTAGTGAAAAAAGCTCGTAATTTTCGCCTGCGCGTGCTTCGTGAGCAGCGGGCGCACACACTTTTCGTAGCTGGCAAGTGAGGTCAAAGCGTCCTCGGCACCTTCGTGTGCCCCAGCAAACCGCCTCAGAAGGTCGACGGCGTCCATCACCTGGTGGCTTGGTGTGGGCACGGGAGCTTCGACAGCATCCGGACCTTTCGCTTCTTCAGACTTTTCTTGTGCACCGGAAACAAGCTGCACTATCTCCTCGTCATCGAGAACTTCTGTTGTATCAGTGTCCCCGTCTGCGTCGGCATTCACGAAGTCGTCGAAGTCCTGATCTGCGGCCACCTGATCACGCCGACGAAGCTCTTCCCAAGAACTGGGCGATGCCTCTTCCTGCTCGTGTTGCGGGCTTCTGGAGCCCGACGCAGCCTCGGAAGTAGAAGTGTGGAAGCCAGCATGCCGGAAACAGTTAACAACGATCGAGGACCGGGTTGCTCTCCACGATGCTGCCACCATCTCGATCGCCATGTACACGTCGATCTTGGTCTCACATTTGATTTCCAAGTTCAGCAGGAGCTTCTCGATGACCCTGCGCTTATATGCGCATTTCACAGTGTTGATGATCCCCTGATCTAGGGGCTGAATGACGGAAGTTGCATTGGGGGGAAAGAACCGCAACTCCACATTCTTCAGGTGAAGCTCCGGGATGTGGTGCACCGTGCAATTGTCCTACAGCAGACACACATTCCTCTTTTGGTGGCTCATGTCGTCGTCGAAGCTTTTTAGCCACTCCGAGAAGATCGCGCAGCTCATCCAGGCTTTGGTATTCCACACATACTCTGCCGATAGTTTTCTAGCTCCTTTGAAGCACCGAGGATTCTGGGCCTTTCCAATGATGAGCGGATCACGCTTATCGCTGCCATCCATGTTGACGCACAGCAACAGTGTTAGTCGCTGTTTACTCTGCTTGCCGCCGTGGCAAGGCTCCCCTTTCCGAGTAAGCGTCTTGCCCGGCAGCATCTGATAAAACAGACCGCTCTCGTCCGCGTTGTAGACGTCTTGCATGGCGTGCCTCCCCAGGATCTCCGGCACGTTCTCCGACAACCACTCGTCGGCTCCTTGCTTGTTCACGCTGGATGACTCCCCGCTCGACACTTTGCCAACAATCCCGTAGCGCTCTTTGAAGCGCGAGAGCCAGCCAGGACTTGCCTTGAACTCGTCAAAGCCGTGCAAACACGCGTAACCGAGCGCTTTCTGCTGCACCACTTCCCCGCTAAGTGGAATGTTTCTGGCTCGCATGTCGTTAAACCACATAAAGAGGGCTTCTTCCAGCTTCTTGTGAGGGATCGTCTTCAGGTTTTTTTTTCTTGGATGCGTTCCCAGAGGAAGTAGCAAGGATGACGGCGTCCTTGTCTTCAAGATGGTCAAAAGCGTGCTCGCCGCGATGCCGTGTTTCGCGGCCACGTCACATTTTTTCCGTCCGCTCGCGACAGCACGGATTATGTTCGCCTTTTCTTCAAGGGTCAGTACTTTCCTTTTCTTCTTTGGAGGCTCCATCCTTCGACGACGCAGAATGCGCAGAGCAAAGCAGAAGAAAGAAAACTAAAGTGCGCGAAGAGTTGGAGAACACAGGCGATTGGGTGGTGGAAACCAGTAGTGGCGAGAGTAGCGGAGGCGCGGAGGGAGCTGAGCTAAAGAGCGTCAGTGCTGCCATCTGTCGCGTGCAAGATCAAGCACCAGCCACCGCTTTCGCCATCTGGTGGAACTGATACAAAGCCTCGAAAGAAATGCGCAGTCTGTCGTTCCGTGCGGTTTCGGTTCATGGTTTCGTAAGAACAAAAACGAGAATGCATCCGCTGTGTCGATTGTACCGCTCCTACGCCGGCAGCACACTGCCATACATTCTATACTTCGTTTCAGCTTCCGTCCGAGCGCAGCCAAAGCTACGTGTGGCCGGAGCCAATCACACGCCGGCAATAGGTGACGCAATCTCGCTTGCACTTTTATATCACTCCGCTGCGCCGCTGGTCGTCCGCACCGCCCTCGCTCGCCGAGTATTTCGTCTGCTACGGGTGTATCAACGGTATCGTCTGCTAGAGGTTTAAAAATGCCTTTTCACGTTCTGAAATTTAATCACAGGGTATATCAGTGCGTAGGCTGGATGCTGTTGTCTGTGTCCGAGCTTTCCACTTGTTCGGCATAGTTTCGAGATGTAAGGTTGCAAGGTGCCCGACGACCCGGCTGTTGATGTTTCATTGTATTTATTGTCTGGATATACCAGGGCTCAAGGCGCAGTTTTTTCCACCAGCTTCTCGGCATTCAATGTGATCGGCAAGTAAAGGGGTGCCCTGATTTCGCCGCGTATTAGTGAATTGTAATGGCCCGGATGCTTTTCTTATTTACAACGCATTCGCGGTACGATGCGGCCAGAGTCTCTTGCCGAATTTGAAAGTAGGCATTCATCACGACCGCTCGCGCCTGACGCCCAAACGTGCCTTTGCGAAAGGACGTTCTGAAGCGACTCGGTGAGGAAAGCAGCGAAGCACATGATTTGGCCATTATAGGGAACGAAATCACACAGAAGAACCAAGCCAACCGAGCGCTGCAGCCGTGTTCCAGCGGATGTACGCGTTTTCACCAAACCGCCTGCATCTACATATATTAATAAAAACATAAACTTCAGATATTTAATTCCTTTCGTTACAAATCCTTCTCAGCAGTACACATCTGGAATGTTGTGGAATGTTTACGCACAAAACAGTTATTCTAAAAAAAAAAAAAAATACTTTTGTGGGCTACTTTTTGGTGCGTCGGAATGCTCTTCTCGCAGTTGCGAATCGTCCCTCAGCCTTTGACTGCGCTCGGACGGAAGCTGAAACGAAGTATAGACGCCATAAATTTGGAAAAATCTCTTTTTCTATGCATCTTTTTTCCCCGGAATGCTTTGTTAAATCGGGTTTGGCGGCGAAGTTTGTTTCGTTATTTCGAGTTCGTAAACGCGTTAAGCCTATGGGCAACTGCAGGGGGAATCCGAATTTGTTCGTTAAATCGAGAAATTCGTAAAATTGGGTTTCAACTGTATTTAAAAAGAAAAGTCGTAGCTGTTCTTTTTTTTTTTGTCTTTGGTTTCAGTTAGTGGTTGTGGCAAATTCTGCTCATAAAGCAATTGTTTTGTTACGTCTCCTTATTGTGCATCCCCATTTGTGAAACAAACACCCTGGCTGATGTATGTACGGTACGTGGCACAATAATGTCAGAACGCAGGCTGCCTTTTAATCTATAACCCTTTCCTTCTGCCCTTGCGAGGAGCATATGTTTACTAGACAGCTGCATTTGGACCCGTGAAGAGCTGCATGCTAACTTGCGAGCCACAGTTTGGCCATTCCTGGCGGCCAAGACCATGGGTTTCAAAACTGGGTTCCCAGATATTCCGGTGTTCCCCAAAGTACTGTCAAGTATCCCCTGAGCTTATAAATGTTTCCTCGGCTGTCCCTGCTTGCAAGTGAAGTGTTCCTCCAGTTTAAGCACTATTTCGGAAGATCGGAGGCATTAGTTTAATTATAACTATGAGCCCAGCACTTCCAAGTGTAACCACTGTCGTTTACAAGGGTCGTAGGCTTCTTCGCCGCCTCATTGCATTCATGCCGAGATGAGGAGGGATTCCTCGTCCATGTAGATGTCGCCACCGATCATATTTTATTTACTGTCACCAGTAAGTGGTGCCACCTAGGCACTCGTCAGTATAGAAGTGTTTGAGAACACCTTACAGTTGAAAACGAGCGTGTTGGTTAATAGATACAAAACTTGAAAGTATAAAACAGAGAGGACGAGGACGGGAACAGGACATCTTTCAAAGGTGAAAGATGTCCTGTTCCCGTCCTCGTCCTCGTCCTCTCTGTTTTATACTTTCAAGTTTTGAGAACACCTTCAACATCTCTTGGGCCTCGAGCGTGCACATGCAGACAAAGCACATTGAAAGGCCACGGGCGCGTGCCAGAGGCCAGGCGTCTGAATGAGATGCCGTTCTCGTCTTGTCGGTGACCGTAGGTTAGGATACTTTTTTCCGACTCGATGCTGCGATGCACCACAAATAATTGTGACTGGGACATCGCACGTAGCCCCGATGGAGGGCAAATGTCATGTGTGGACAAAAGAACTGAACCCTGCTCGTCGTTCCGTGTCATGCAGGGGATTTGCTTGGATGCCTCCCAGCTGCCGGTGCCCGATGGCCACAGGCTTCTGGCTGCATCTGAATCCAGGTTAGATGCCCGTTTGTTTTGCGACCTGGCTTCCGAACAGTGCGGCAGTGTTACCGTATTTACTCTCACAATGAACGCACTCGCGTAATGAACGCACCCCCCAAGTCGGCTTTCACAATTTCGACTTTTTTTTTTTCACTCGCGTAATAAACGCACCCCCAACTCGGACGTCAAAATTTTTACCGCCTCCCCCCACACGCGCGAAATGAACGCACTTTTCTATCCTGGTGCAGCGAGGTCGCGAATGCATGGGCAGCGGGGCGAACAAAACGCCTTGCAAGAGGCGTTAAAAAAAATTTGCAAAGATCCAGCTGAAGCAAGAAAAAAAAAAACATGGAGGAGCTTTTCTTTTTTTTTTTTGCACAGCGCAGTCTGGACTTTGGGTTCGCGTGCCGCCGCGCGCAAGGAGGTAAGAAAGAGAAGCGGAGAAGGGCGAACGGAAACAGCTTGCGAAAGGCGGCAAAGAGAGAGAGAGAGAGAGAAAAAAACCCCACAGAACTACTAAGAAAAAACAAAAACAAAGAGCTTTCTTTTTTTCTTTTTTTTTGCACATCGCAGTTTGGTTTCGGGGGTCGCGCGCCGCGCGCAAGGAGGTAAGAAAGAGGAGCGGAGAAGCCCTCTAAAGCGCGATCCAAACCAACGCTTCTTTTTGCGCCTGTAGGTTGTGCGGCTGCGGATGTGACGTATTTTCGTGACGTCGCGCCGCTTCTTCGCTCCTTCCGGGCACGCACAAGAAAGTTGGTTGATTTCAACTTCTTTTTCAACGCGCACAAAAACGCGCGGTGACGTATAGGGCGCTCCTGTGTCCCGGCCAATCGGTGGAGGGCAAGCTAGTTCCGGCTCCGCGTTTCTCGCCGTCTGGCTGCCCTCTCCTCCCCCCCTTTTATTCTCTTCCAACATCACAACGCGATCTCTCTCTCTCTCTCTTTCTCTCGCCGTCTGGCCGGCCAGTCTGTCGCAGTTGCACTTTGCTTGTGCGCTCGTGCCTGCGTGCGCGCGTGCGCGCTCGCCCGAAGTTTCGCTCGTCCAAACCAAAGCGCACGGTTCTGACTCAGAAGGCGCGCCCGGAAACAGCAAAAACGCCACGAAATGCGTCACATCCGCAGCCGCACGACCTACAGGCGCAAAAAGAAGCGTTGGTTTGGATCGCGCTTAAGCAAACGAAACAGCTTGCGAAAGGCGGCAATAAGAAAAAATACAGCCCACGGAACTGAGAAAAAAACAGAAGAAAAAGAAAAGCTTTCTTTTTTTTTTTGCACAGCGCAGTTTGGTTACGGGGTGTCGCGCGCCGCGCGCAAGGAGATAAGAAAGATAAGCGTAGAGGCTTCGCCTAAGCAACGCCTAAGCAAACAAAACAGCTTGCGAAAGGCGGCAAAAAAAAACAAAAACAAAAAAAACAACAAGGAACTAAAAGAAAAAAAAAAACAAGAGTTTTTTTTTTGCACAATTTAGTTTGGTTACGGGGCCGGGGCCGGGTCCGGGTGCCGCGCGCAAAGAGATAAGAAGTTGCCTCGATTTTTCTGGACAAGAGGTCCATTCATTATGCGAGTAAATACGGACACAAAAATTTTACTTCGCGTAATGAACGCGCCCCCCCTAACTTTGCATCGATTTTTCGGAAAAAAAAGTGTGTTCATTCTGCGAGTAAATACGGTATTTCTAAAAGAGGCAGTTTTGTTTAATCTTTTTACAGGGTGCGCACAGGTCCTTGAAACCCTTGAAAATTCTTGAATTTGAAAGTTGCTTTTTCAAGGCCTTGAAAGTGCTGGAGTATCTTTGCCGTCCTTGAAAACCCTTGAATTCTTAGCGTTTCGCGGGGCTCGGTTGCGCGACCCGCGTTTTATAGCGGTTGAACGTGGTCCCGGGAAAATTTGTTGCTTGCTTTTTGCGACACCGGGATCGCGAAGTCAAACCAATCAAACTTCCTGTGCGAGAAAAAAAAAAAAAATGCACGCCCACTGCACTTTTTTATCTTTTTTTCTTTCATCTGGCTTGCTTCGACTTCAGGGTTGGCCAAAAGCCATAAGCCGTAATGAGGCTGGAGAGCCTGGAGAGTCTCGACCTCTTCGTAAAAAAGGCATGTTGCGCCAGCGTGCTTATTTGCAACGGAAATGCAGTTATATGAATCAAGAGTTAAATTTAGTAGTATTTAAGGCGAGACGCGGGTCTTAAAATGGTAAAAAATCGCGAAATTTGGGGTTTTTCAAAAATCACATGTTTGGATAGAATATAGTCTGAAGTACCTGCCTGCGAAGTTTCAATGTCCTATTCGACGTCTAAGTATAAAAAAAACGATAAATACGATGTCTCCGCGACGCTCAAATCGCGAATCCAACGCAAAAAAATAGTCAAACTGCGCGCCCGCGTCGCTTCACGACCGATCGTCGGATCGCGGCCATCTTGGTCTTGTTGGGGAGCTGGTTCTCTTCCCTACGTCCTCATCCCACTCACTATCGCGACAACCTTGGAGAGCGTCCGCATTCCGCGGGTTTTCACGACCGGAATAACGATTGCTCATTGGCCCGCGCGCGTACGTCACGGGTACGTCGTGCCGCGCGCGCCTGTCATAGGCCAAGATGCGCCCCTTTCCACTTTTGCTCCTTTCCTCCTCTTGGCGCGCGCGCGCCTCCAGCAGCGCAAGGAGAGCGTGGAGAAGCGTCGTCTGCTTCGTTTTGGCCTGTCGCTTTGTTCGATCCGCGGCTGAGTGCACGTTGTTTCGAAATCGTTTACGTTCGCGCGTTCGCGTCGGACATCGTTGGTTTCTCGCTACGAAGTTGCGGGAGTTTTATTTCGAGCGATCGAGATGCCGGGGGACTCTCGATTGAAAGAGAGTACGCGGCGGACGTTCGGGAGGAAGACGCGACGTGCGTGGAACAAGCGGAAGACATCACCTGCAACTGCGCCGCTACGATCTGCGCCACTGCCGAACGCATTGGATCTGCCGGGACCATCGGCTAGCCTTCCCGTTGACGATGCTGCGGCCTCAAGCTCTGGTCCGGATGGCTCAAGTTTTGCCGGCACCACTCGCGTCGACTCTACCTACTACTCTACGGCCGAGCAAGCGCAGCGCGCCGAGCGATCGGAGCAAAGCAAGCGCGTTTTATCGGAGAAGTCGGCGACCCAGCGGAAGTTCGATCTGCTTGAAGTCAACGGATCATGCCAAACAAGCGATGCCGGGACCCAGTTTGTCATCGTCGACATGAAAGTCCTCAACGACCTCTTCGCGCACGCGAGGTGTGGAAGCTGCGGTGTGGGATCTCTCACGCTCAGCAAGGCCGCGGACAAGGAGTACGGCTTGGCCGTCAAGCTTGTGCTCGTCTGCAGCACTTGCGACTTCCAGAAGAAGCAGTTCTCCTCTCCCAGGGTTGCTGGAACAGCAAAGATCACTCCCTTTGAAGTGAACATGAGGGCCATGAAGGGGATCCAATCCATTGGCAAAGGAGTGACAGCCTTGGCAGACTTCTGTGCCTCCATGAACATTTCTCATCGGGGCCTGCACCACAAGACGTACCAGGGACACCTGAAAACGCTTGTGCGGGCATGTGAGAATGCAGCAACCGACAGTGAAGCCGCCAGTGTTGCTGTCGTCAAGGGGCTCTACACAGGCTTTATGAACCCCATTGGCAACATCGATGTCATCTTCGACGGATCATGGATGACCCGAGGACGCAGCTCCCACATTGGTGTAGGCTGCATTGTGGAGTTGTACTCTGGCCTCGTCATCGACCATGTTGTGTACTCCAACTTCTGCCTTGGATGTGCCTTGGGACCGGAGCCCGAGGACGATGGCTACAGCGACTGGTACGCAACCCACGACTGCCAGAGGAACATTGACTGCAATGCTGGCCGTATGGAGGTGGAGGCTGCGCTCACAATGTTCCAGAGGTCTCTGACCAAGCATCGTCTCCGCTGCACCACCGTCCTTTTGGATGGGGACAGCCGGACATTCCATGCCTTGTCTGAAGCGAAGGTTTACGGCTTCATCAAGATAGAGAAGAAGGACTGCGTGAACCACGTCCACAAGCGGATGGGAGCTGCCTTGCGCAACGTTGTTGAGAAGAAGAAGGCACAAGGCGAGTCACTTGGTGGGAGAGGAAAGCTGACACAGGAAAAGATCAAGAAGATCACTAACTATTACGGCTATGCTCTCAGGAGCAACAGCCATGACGTTCCAGGGATGAAGAGGGCGGTGGAAGCCACACTCCTGCACATGACCTCCACAGACGGCGCCCCAGACCACAGCAAGTGCCCCGAGGGAGCGGAGTCCGGGTGCAAGTACAACAGGGCCTTGGCAAACAGTGAGCCTCCGCCGCCGCACAAGAATCCTCTTCCGGATTGTGTTCGGGCTGCACTGGAGCCAGTGTTTGAAAGGCTCAGCAATGAAGACCTGTTGGCACGGTGTAGTGAGGGAAAGACGCAGAATGCCAGTGAGAGCCTGCATTCGGTGATCTGGACGCAGACTTCAAAGAATGCGAATGCCTCCCTGGACAGCGTGAAGAGGGCTGCGGCTGAAGCTGTTGCTGTCTACAACCAGGGAAGGAGAGCGACCAACGAGTCCATTGCTGCAGGCCTGGGCTACGCCACCGGTGACTGCCTTGTCCTCCGAAGCATCGAAAAGGACAGTCTCCGTTTACGTAAAGCAAACGCGGTGCACCAGAGCAGCAGTAGCGTGAAGGAAAGGTTCTCCAAGCGACACCAGGCAGGAGCATCACGAGATTACAGCCCAGGACAGCTGTAATGGCTTTTTCCAGTGCCATGTGGAACAAAGGCCCTTTTCAGGGCCAAACAAAATTACGTTTGGAGCTTGAAACTCTTGCTCGCCTCTCCCGTTGTCCAAAGTTGTCGGCTCATCACTTTAGAAGCAATTTTTAGCCTATATCAGTAATTCTTCACCATTTTTGCAATCTTCTCAAAAACAAATTATTGCAATTTTTAAAATTATTTGTTCAGAATGCACTACACTACATCTTGATAACTATTATTGCATAAGGGTTTTCACATAATTTATTGTAGTCAGCGTCGAAACAGGAAAATGTGATTTTTATCAACATTTCACTCGTTCTTTACTTCTTTCATATTTTTTTCCTAATGTTCCCATAAATGGATTACATCATCTTTTATGTCAAGTTGTTCATGAAGACTTACACTACACCTTGGTGGCAATTATTATTTATCATTGTTCACACAATTTTCTATGTTCAATGTCAAAACTTTAACTTTGATTTTCTCATCTTCATGTTTTTTGTCAACGTGCTTAGCCTTACGGGGGTTTTCATGAGGTTTTTATCGTAGCATTTTGAAACTTTTTATACCGTTTTATTCAGAAAGGACTGGACTATGGAGTAAAGCTATTTTTTTGCAGTTTATAATGACAACGAAAATTTTATGATAAATAATGCGACCTCATTAGTGTCATAATTAGCATAATTAGTACATTTTTGTATTATAATGTAATTTTGTGAAAATATAAATAGCTTTATAATGCATGGCAGACCTTTAGCTATGCATCTACATCAATAAAAAAAAATATTTTTGTTCGAAATGGCCTTAACCACCCCTTAAGAAATTAACCAAATTAGGCAACACTATTTTTTATAACTTGAAAACTAATTGAGATATTTTGAAACTGATTTCATATTTGAAGTGAGGAAGAAGGAACACATATGCACAGTGATTTTCATTAGTATAGCTGCAAAAATAAAATAGTCCATTTTAGAACCAGTGTCTCGCCTTAATTCTTTCTTTTGCCTTCGTCTTTAGCTGGATTTATTGGCAACCCACTAAAAAAGGCACAGCCCCATAGGCCGAGAATTGTCTGTTGGCCACATTGTGCTTAGTTTATATCTGGTTTGTGCCTACTCCGGAGGCTTTGTTCGCTGTTTGTTCCCACGTGTCGCTTATGGTGCGTGTAGTGACCCAGTGATTCGTGCATTCAGATGGCATAGAATAATGCCCGGGAAATGTAAGTTCCAAAGCGCTTGGCTCAGCAACGACGACTTTGGGTTGCGCCAGATACAGCAAACCCTCACTGCGCAAAATGCACACGCTGCAGAAAGACACTCGACATCGCTTCGATGGGCGAATCTGCCCTCAAAAGCCATGCAAAAAGTGCAAAGCACTGTGGAATCATGCAAATGGCAGCTGGGAACTCGATGGAGAACTATCTGGCAGCAAGCGTAAGCGGGCGGTCCACTGGCTCGGCTCTGTCGCAGGCGACAGATCTAAACAGCGCCTGCAAGTCACACGAGGTGGTTACGGATGCGGAAATTCTGTGGACAATGAAAGTGATTAGCCCCCACTACTCGTACAGATCGTCGGCACAAACCGGCGACTTGTTCAAGCGGATGTTTCCGGACAGCGACGTGGCCAAATCGTTTTCCTGTGGGGAGAAAAAATGCGCTTATGTAGCATGTCATGGACTGAGGCCATTTCTCTTGTCGCACTTGTAACAAGAGGTACAGAAGTCTGACTATTACGTCGTGCTTTTTGACGAGTCGGGTAATGACTTCCTGCAAGAGAAGCAAATGGACGTGCATGTGCGCTATTGGGACTCGTCACACAAGGTGGCCACCAGATATTACACATCCGCTTTTATGGGGCATTCCACGGCAGAGGATATTCAGGAAGTGCTTCCTGAATAATCTGAATCTGAATAATCTTGCCACTTGGCAAGATTGAGATCTTGATGGATGGGCCAAACGTTAACCTTACGTTCTTCAGGAATATGCAAGTGCACTTGCAGGAACACCATCAGGTCCAGTGTGTTGACTTAGGGACGTGTAGCCTACATACCATCCACAATGCCTTCAGAGCAGGTGTTGTAGCCAGTAAGTGGGGCATTGACATTTTGTTGACAAGCCTGAGCGCACTCTTTCAAGACTCACCAGCACGAAGGGAAGATTTTTCCACCGTGACCAACCAGGACACATTTCCACTGCACTTTGTGGCTCATCGATGGGTGGAAAATACACTTGTCATTGAAAGAGCTTTGCTTCTTTGGAATGATGTGAAGAAATATGTGGAGTCTGCAAGGAGTAAGCAGGTGAGCTTCCCAAAGTGTGCATCCTTTGAAAATGTGTACAACTTTTGTCGTGACCCCTTGATGCTGGCAAAACTGAACTTTGCTCTCAGTGTTGCTTCCCTTCTTCAGCCGTTCTTGAAAGACTACCAGTCTGACAAGCCAATGATCTTCTTTCTTGGTAGAGACCTTGTGAAGTTCATGAAGGCTTCGGTGTTGTCTTCATTGGCAGGGGTTGGTGGTTTGCTCAGGGTGGATGTCGACAACCCTAATAACCACACTGCGCTTGATGAAGTGGACATCGGCCCCAAATGTGTACAAGCACTGAAGGATTCGAGAGCAAGCGCGAAGGATGCATTTCAATTCAGAATGGAGTGTAAACAGTTTCTGGCAGCTGTGACCAAGAAAATACTGGAACGAAGTCCCCTGAAGTCATCCAAGGTTAGAAAGCTGTCTTCCCTTGACCCGCGGCTCATGTGCTCGAAGCCAGATCAGTGCCTGGTGGGCATAAGGAAGGGGTTGGACGTCTTGACCATGGCAGGAAGACTGAGTGACTGCCAACGAGTATGTGTATTGGCAGAATACACTGAACTGCTGCAAGAGTTTAAGCATGAGCTCCGCATGTTTGAGAGGAGCATTAGCAGGCTCGATGAGTTTTTTCGTGACCTCTTGTGCTCCAATCTCTCGTACAAAGAGCTTTGGAACGCAGTCAGGCTGCTGCTTGTTTTAAGCCATGGGCAGGCCACCGTTGAACAGGGGTTTAGTGTAAACCGTCAGATCTCTGTAGAGAATCTGAAAGGTTTGTCATACATTTCACAGCATATTATATGTGACGCAGTGGAGAGGGCAGGTGGGATTTTAAACGTTCCTATCTCAAAAGAGCTCAGAGTAGCTGTGTCCGCAGCAAGGCAGCATTACAGTGCACACCTGGAATCACAAAAGAAACAGTGCCAGGAAAACTCGGAGCAAACAAAAAGGCAAAAAATCATGGAAGAGGTTGAAGGCCTGCAGATGAAAAAAAAGAAGCTTGAGCCAGTTGTTGCCGATTTAACAGCCTCTGCAGATGAATATGCAGAAAAGGCTGAAGCAACTGCTGACATCAAGAAGGTGGTAAAATCGAACATCCTAAGAAAGACCGCAAGAGCCAAGGCTGAGGAACTCAGCAGCGTTAAGACTCAACTAGCTAATAAACTAAAAGACCTGACGTGAGCTTTCGCCCTTCATGTAGTCGAATGAGACTATGTACAATCTCCAGAACTAACTTCACCTAGTCAAATGAAATTGTACGCGCAATAACTTTAAGTGAAGTCAGTTTTCTTTGTTCTGTGCAATAAAAATAATGTGTGTGATCTACTGTAGTGTTCTTTATTTTTTGAAAGGTCCTTGAAAAGTCCTTGAATTTTTTTTCTTGAAAACCTGTACGAACCCTGTTTTATCAATGTAAGTTGCTGCCTGTGGTTTTCTTCTATTTTGCCTTGTTAGCTCATTTACGATGGCTGGTCGCGTGGGTTCCCAAACCGGGTTCCTATGAACCCAGGAGTTCCCTCATGGGTTCCTCGAAGTTCCAACTTTCCTGAACCGTCCCCATTCCTAAGTTTTTTTCCAGTTTAAGCTCTACTTCTACAGAGCTCAGCCACCCAATAATGCACATATATAAGTTAGGCATGCATTGTTGTTCACAAAGCCTCTAGACTTCTGAACTCCTCTATTGCACTAGTGCCTAGACAAGTTCCACGACCGACATTCAAGCAGACGAGGTTTCCCTAAGGTTGAGAACCCCTTTCTCATCAAAAAAGCAACCGCACAAATTTTAATAAGCCTACGACAAAGGGGCGGTGCACTTCTTTGTTTGCACGGTACAGAGTAAGACGGCGGCTGAGGAGAAGGAAGTTCGGACAAAGCAAAGATAGCTAGCTGTGTGGCTTGTTTGTCTGAACAAAACTCCAGCAAGCTGCTAAAAAGTGTTATAGGGTCGTTTAGGTGTTTTGTTTTGTGTTGTTACTCTTGCGTTAGGAATACTGTCAACATGGATGTGCTAATATAGTGTTGCGTGGCTTCTTTCAGCGGGGTCCTGAACGATCGTCTCTGGGTCCTTATGGATAGGATTCAGGTGAGTCGGCTTCCACTGTGTTTCGAGACCACACCACTAACGGCCCCCGACACTGTTAGTGCAAACAAGCAGTCTCTATTCTTCGTTTGATTTATAATCTCGAGGCTGTCATCTAAACTAGTAGTCAGCTGGAAAGAGCACATTTTGGGTACTAACCCAAGCACTGAAACTCGCTGCCCACAATTGCAATTTTGAAGAAATCTTTCAAAAAGTACCGACGTCATGTTTGCACTAAATGTCGGTTCACACATCCATCCCAGCGCTGACACAGCACCGAGTTTGTGCTGCATCGTGTGTGTGAACAGGATAAGGCTGGGTCTTTAGCACAAAGTCTGTGCCATGTCTATAGTGCTGAGTTTGCGTATGTGTGAACGGGCCTTAAAAGTGTAGTGTACCTCTTTGTAAGTTGAGGTATCGACGACAGCTTACATCTTGATGTGGCTGCAGGACCCGATGAACTTTGGCGCCGTGTTGAGGTCCTCGTACTACTTCGGGGTGCAGAAGGTCTTCACGACAAGGACGGATAGGTGGGTTCACTTCCTTGCCACCCTTTTGCTTGAAAGGTGCAAGGAGGCTTCGTGGCATTTGTGTTCCTTCTTTAGGCCGGGTGCCATTTGAAACATTTGCATTGGCTGATCGATACCTTCATGCGACCATCAGATAAACCCTGTGGTGTTCGAGGAATGCCTTTTTTTTTTTAGATTTTACTTCAGCAATGTGGTGTGTGTTGCAAAATGAATTGGTGGGCTAGTTGGTTAAACATTATGAATGCAAAGGGTGCTAAGGACGAAAACTAGAAGAAGTGGACAGTGTTTATCGTGTCCACCTCTATTAGGGGGTGTCCAAACAGGACACCCCTTTAGTCCTCTTTCTTAGCGCTGTTGGTGTTCATGAGGATGCTATTCTGTTTTGGAGCAGTAGTGAGACTGCTGTTTTCTATAGCTATGTCTGTGCATTTCTTCCACTTGTCCCCATGTCTCGTTTTGCGCTGTTTTATTTTCCTCGCAACACGTGCCGACTCGCTCATCTACAAACGTTGCAGTATTTGACTGCGTCTCTGCGGTAGATAGAGGAATCCACTTCAGCTCGATTGTGGCAGTCATTGTTGCGTCTTGTCAGCATTTGCGGACCATTTTGTTTTACCGTCAATAAGTCTACCGTGCTGTAAGACCTTTTATGCGCAGTATTAAAATGCGCCAAATTCTGCGAAAGCAATTTGTATACCCGTCTCTACGCAACAGTGAATGAGGTTTGTAGCAAGTGAAATGCACAGTTGACTGTTTTTCTCGTGCATACCTAAAGCAAAGTTTTGCTCTGCGCATGTCCATACAATGTTTTTTGCCTTAATGGCACGTTGTAGGTTAAGAATAGCGGTGCAAGCTCCTCCACAAAGCCCTCCCCCATTCCCACTTTAGCGGAGAAAACGGCGTAGTTGACGAAACCAGCAGTCATGGTGAGCAGAGAGTTTTTACGGGGTGGGCGTGTCCCGCTATTCTGAACCCACAATGGACGATAGTGGGCAGTTTGCCTGCCTTGCTAGCATTGAGTGAGTGCGTGGAATGCGTTTTAATGGTTTGTCCCTGGTGCAGCTGTCGCCTGTCTCCTGTCGTGAGTAAGGCAAGCTCGGGGGCTCTTGAGGTCATGGACCTGTACTCGTTGCAAACTCCAGCAGAGTTTCTGCAGGTCAGTTCCTGTGTCACTTTATGGTGTCTAGTCCCAACTCTTTGGACATCCCCTTAAAGTTCAGGTTATTCGACATGTTGATTTTGTTGCCACCTTTTACGAAATATGGAGCTTGCCAGAGATTTCTAAGCCTGTAGCCTATGTTCTCCTAAAAAGAAATTGTTTCCTTTCTTTTGTGTGTGAGCAATGTCAACAACTAAAGCCAAATAAACGGAGAAATCTTCGATCTCATATGTTTTTCTGTCAAAATATCGCTCGCAGTATTTGTTTTGGCAATTGCTTTTCATTTTTCGGAAACAAATTGGCTTTTCCATACCCCGCCTGTTCCCAGGTCCTCTTACAGTTTCAGACTGCCGCGCCGCTGGTATTCTAATCTGCTGAACAATTCTGAAAAGAGAAGAAACAAATCTTTAATTTTTTACTGACACCTAGTAGGAAGGCAGTGCGTAAACATGAAACCGCAGGTGGCTAGGTCAATTGGGTAAACGGCCGCAACCAGCGTCGTTGTCGGACTCTTTCCTTTTTTTTGGTACAAACTCGCAGGCGCTCAAAGCAAAGGGCTGGTGGGTCGTGGGCACGGCCGGAGTGAAGCAGGACGGACCATTTGAAGGAGGGCCGAGGAGCGATCTGCCCTGGGTGCTTCCTCCGCCGGACAAGCCCGCCATCCTCATTGTTGGTGGGTGCTGCGCGTGCCAATTGCGGTGTGGTTCAGAAGAACTTTACAGTGTTTGCCGTAGCATGTCGGTGTAGGTCTGCGGCTGCCTTTGCTCGGTGCAGCGTCGTTTACAGCGATGCATAGCTACGTGACCCTTTGAGAGTTTCGATATCCGGCTTCAACTTCGGGCTGCCATATTGCCTTCGTCTGTGCCTCGCAAACGCTACTCTACACGTGCGCAGTTTCACCGTGCCGACTGTGCAAACTTGTGTGGCTTATACAAAAGGGCAACTTGTATAGTTACCTTTCCGTGGCACGGCCGTTGATGAGAAGAACGTGACTCGTAGACCGGAAGACGTGCTACTTTATACTGTGCGGACCAGATGGACTGAGAACCCACGTCCAAATGACTAAAAAATTGGTTGGTTTTGCATGCTAGGGGTGCTCGCAGTCCTGAACTAAAGAAACTAACGACGAACTAAAAGCCTCTCACGCATGTCATCCTACTCAACGATCGTCGGTGGAAGCTCTCACGCAGCCTGGGATGCGCTTCGAGGTTAGTAATGATGCTGATTGGTCGGCTTTTACGACAAATAGAATTTGCTCCAATTTGTTTCTGTTTACCACGACATGCGGTGCTAATCGTTGCTCCTTTGCCGTGTTGACAACGTGGCTCAGACATTTCGAATGCTTCATGATGGCGCATCAAAGTATTCTACACTGATTAGTCACACTACTGGGAGAATCATTATGTCACTCTAATATCGAAGTAAGGCTGGCCTTGTTTTTTCATGCGTCATCACCGTGAGATTGAAGCGCGCGTGCTGCATTGTCAGTTTTGCTATTAGCGCCGAATGTGGGGGAAGACTGAAGGGAATAAACGCGTATATCATTCACGGAAAAGGCCGGCCACTTGGCACCGTCTGTACTCTCGAAGTGCACGACGGGCTGGCATGACAAGTGCGAGAGGCTTTTGCTTCGTTAGTCGCATCTCTTTTGTTCGGGACTGTACCAGAATGGTGCAGCTAGGAGGTGTATTTATTTTGAGAAAAATATTGTAGCAGGTAATTTTTGTAATAGAAAAATTTAAATAAGAGCCAAGCTTTTGTTAGAGACCGAGATAGAGTTCAAGCTTTTCTGCTTTAGCGCCAAAGGCTGTTGTGGTGGGCTGTCGGAACAAAACACGCAAGAAAAATGATGAAACCTTGCAAGTCCTTCTGTCTTTTGTCCCATTTTCTATTTTGTCTAACTGAGCATCTCTACAGCATACATCTTCTTCTCCCTGATGTAAAAAGGATTTTGCCTTTATTGTTATTCCATAGAAAGAGTTATCATCATTGTTATCAAGAAAATTAAAAAAAAAAAAAAAGTGCAATCTACTTGCGCCTTTGCAGTTAATTTACAACATCGTAACTTGTGAAGCTGAGTTTTGCAATCTATTTAGAGAGGGTTCGGTTCATGTGGGCCATTGACTGTATTGCATAAGGGCAATCTAAAAATGTATCGCTTGTATTTTTTAATTTTTAATGCATTTGGCAATTAACTTCCTGCATACACAGTGCTAGAATTTTCAACTTGGTAGAATGCAGTGAGACGACCCTGAGTTCAAACTCTTGACTGCATTGCTGAGGACGATGCACGCTTTTTTTGTCCAGGCAATGAGAACCAAGGCATGCATCCCGAGCTGGGGGCTGTTTGCGACAGCGTGTTGTCCATCTCTCCTGCCGCCTCGAGCGATCTGATTGGCTCACTCAACGTCTCCGTAGCTACAGGTGGGTCCCTCATCTTCCACGTGCTTGTGCCCGGCTTTGCTAGCCTTTTCTGTTGTGTCTACGCCTCCTCTTACACCTAACTTGGGGCTCGGTTGTCTCTCCCTTTTTTCTTTCATTGGTGTCATGCAGTTCGCTCATACACCGGTAAGGGATGGCGGTATGAAAGGATTTGATCGAGGTGCAACTGCAGCGAAGATGTCCAGCGCATTCAAGGATGCAAACCAACTAAACTTGATTACCATAATATTCCCGAAAGAGAGCCCACCTAAAATCGAGAGCAAATCGGGTGGAAACAAGGAGTGGGCTAAGTTTAAGCTGACAAGAAGAAAATGCTATTTTAGATTGTGCCCTTGCCAAACTTCTTATTTCGGCGGGGGGCAGTGAAGCCAAAATAACTGTGCTTCCCAGTCAGCAATGTTGTCTTATATCCTGTCATAGCTAACTTTCTGCATTTATGCCGAGGTCATCATTGATCTGAACACCACGATTACTAGGTGTTTAAAAGAATGTAGCAGATGCAACCAAAATTAGGGGGGTTTATCTCTCGGGGGGGGGGGGGGGGGGGGGGATGGGGGGGGGGGATGGGGGGGGGGGGGCGGGGGGGGGGGGCATGTCCCAGGATATTGCTCTAACCTCTTCCGATAGACACAGTCACACAGACCTCTTTTCCTTCAGGACACCTAACTGTCCTTATCTCGAAATTCAATATGACTTTCTTGGTGATTGCTATGAATGTGCACACGCGTGTTATACAGAGGTCTAGACGACGGGACGTTGGTCTGCCTTGAGGTGGCGTTCGACGTCCTTGCAATGGCCAGTGCACCACTGCTCTTAACCAGGTGTTTTCAATGTGCATATGTTAGGCATTAGGTTAGTGTGAGTGCACCGTGGCCTCGTACTGGACTGCACTGAACTAACATACTCTGCTGCCGACCTCACCTTGCGAGCTTGACGTTGCTCGTGTGAGTAAGTAATTTGTCTGTTTTGTGTTTGGCACTTTTTATTTAAACTCAGTTAAACAAAAGTTTGACTTGGAAGCTCTTACAAGCATGTACCTTGGGTATGGTTTCATTGCTTTTTGCGCCTATTCTGTAGGTAATATCAGGTGAGAGAGTACAAACAGAGAGCAAGTTTCATATTTCCCTGCCCATGCTGCAGACTTTGAAGATTTTGAGTCACCGCTCCTGCGGATTTTGATACATGTGGGACGTGGTACCAGTGAGCCTTTGTGCTGAAAAATAGCCACGTTAAAGGCAAGCTGAAACACTTCATTCAAAAATTGAGCTAGAGGTTGATTCTAGCATAGTTTTATTGCAGGAATCAGAATATCACGTTTGTTTTCTTCGAAGAAGTAACTAAACGTGAGTAAACATGAAAAACCTCAAACCAGCTGTTACGTCATAAGAGTTCCCTCGGCCGACAAGCGCGTTTTGCTTGAGGGCCGCGCGTGAAGTCGCAAGCTTGCCAGGTATATTCCCCCACACTGGCACCAGTCGCAGCATCTTTTCTTGTCCATTTTAAAAATGGCAAGAGTGCACGTGCCTAGCTTTGATAGGCGCTGAAGATGCGCGAGAATGGAGATTCTGAAAACTCCTTTTGCGACGTCACGCTTTGGGAAGGAGGGCCTTCAGCCGTGCTTTGGAACTGATTTTCTGCTGCCTCCTTGCACCAAATTAAAAAATAATTTCAATATTAGAGATCCTGGAGGTCAAATGAAGACGATTTAAGTGTGTTTCCTTGGATACAATACTGCTTGAGCTTCTCTTTAAAGGCCAACATACACTTCTAGCTTTCCCCTTTTTCTATATCCTATCGACTTTTTACCTTGCCCCACCTTGGCTCTTCTTGCAGCTTAGGAGAGGGGAGCGCTAAGAGAATAAATCGAGGCTGGTACGTCGGCCTTTAACAGCCGCACTCACTAACAAAATTACCTCTCTGCAGTGGAGGCAGCGTACACCTGTGTTGTGCAGACTGTCTAAACGTCCGCACCAAGCTTAGCATTAACGAGTGTGGCCCTGGTTGCTGTTCCACCAAAAGACTCGGCGATTTGACCAAAACCTTTCGTTTTGTTTGTTCTTCAGGCATTGTGCTTCACGAACTTGCAAGGGGCAGGACAAAGTGACAGGTCGTCAGATTGCCAAATCAGTGTGAGTCTTTGCTTTCTGCCTTCCACCTGTCGCACACACCGATCACTGACTTGCATGACATGGCTCATTCTGTGGAGAGTTGTGGTTGTGGCCATGAAATACAGGGTGTACAGAGGTAAGCAAAAACAACCATCACCAAACTTCTTGGGAGGTAGGATGTTGTTTCTTGTCGGCTATTGTTCTTGAGGACCCGCAGGGAGCAGCGCACATTAGAATGAAATTGCTTCTTTCGAATTATTGCTTTTATCGAAGTTCAACGTTGTCCCGACCGCAATGCACACATTTTAAACCGGATTGTTCTAAGTATATCGGCGGCCGACCATGCTTATTATGAAGGCCGAGGTGGCGAAAGCACGCAAGCCTGCACTGGGGTGCATGGAGACCCTTGCGTCCCCTGCCCCTTCTCCACCGAGGGGAATCAGCAAACAAGAAAATAGAGTAAACGGGTGACGGAGGGCAGAGCACCGCTTCCAATGCCGATGCGCCGACGCACGGGCACTGGCAGGGAACAGCATCCACATTCCGACACTACTCACGGCGCCCGCGGCCGACACTGCCCAACTCCTGTCGGAATCGGGTCAAGGGAGCGATGGAGCCCGGGGGACATCATCCCTTCGGGAGCTCCGTGGCGTAGTGCACGCACACGTGCGTTGTACGGGAGACTGGGAATGTTTACCGAATGTCGCTTAGATCTGTGAGGTTGAGAAAAGTGGCTGGCCCAAGTCCGAAATCGCTAAATAATTCAACATTCTGTCATTGGCTCTTCGACACTGTCCACCATTTTGCAGAACAAGCAAGGTATTGGACGGGTTCGAGAAGCATGCTTGTGACCTGCAAAGATAGTCAACTGCTTCGCGACGGTTGGATTTTCTCTCTCGAGCATGCTTGCCGAGCCGGCGCACGTTTCCCATAGCTGCAACGATCCCTACATGGGTGTGTGAGAGCTTGTTGGCAAAGCCACCGAGGATAACTTTGATTCATTCGCGCTTGTCGATGCCGGCATTCCCGTTGTTGCTCCTGCCACGGATGCTGCGGCTGTAGATTTTGCGTGCAGCCAGGGCTAACACGAAGCGACATTGGAGAGGCACCTCGGGAAATGCCGACTGCTGCGGGGACGCGAAACATCCTACAGCTGCTTCGAAACGATGTGTAATGCAGTGGCGGTGACAATGTTTTTGCGGTGCCTGGAGCAGTTTGAGGAGATGTGATGGCCGAATGAAATCATTGGCAAACTCTATCTAATTATCTTTTAGTCCTGTGCGAATAGTGGATTTTGAGTTCAAGGCAAATAGTGGTTTTGGCCAAATATTTTCGATTTGAATATCAAATAGTTTTTCCACGTCCTTCACTACCGTTGCATCATGTTTAGATGAAAACCCAGCTAAACTCGTGAAAGTTGTTCCACTTGTTCATTTATAATGTAAGTTTAACATATCTATGTATATTTATGAACTGTGACCTCAGAAGGTCTGATGTCTTGGGATGGCAAGTAAACGACAAATTTGTCATAAAGAGAATCCTATAGAGATGGCCAACTATGCCCCATCAAGTGAATTTACGAATCTTGCTATATAAAATAGTCTTTCTTTAACCTCGAGTTAAAAAAGAATGGATTGTGCATGATGAATGCAGGTTGTAAGGGCATTTCTGTCTAACATATACTTGCATGACAGTCAGTTTAATTTTGAAACTTTTGCTGCAATGTAGATACACACATTTAAAAGGTTTCAATTTATTTTCAAATACAGCTGGCACACATACACTATTCCACTTTGAATGTGTGCTTTTCTTCCAAGCATGCTATTGCAATATTCACCCATGCAGACCAGAAAAGCAATGCCCGTGGAGCTCGCTTCTGTGGATATTGCTTATCCGTAGTGCGCCGGTGCTCGGTGAGGACCGCACTCAACGGGGTAACCCGCCGTAATCAACAGTTAGAAAAGAGCCGTTTACAAATCCCTGTAACGCCGAATTGGAGCGCAGCTCTTGAGGAGGAATAGGGAAGGGTACTGAGGGGGGGTCACGTCACCTGCGGGTAGTTACGTGACCCCGGGGGGATCACGTGACCCCGGGGGGTCACGTGATCTCGGGGGAGGGGGATCACGTGATCTTGGGGGGTCACGTGACCTGGGGTCATGTGACCTCGGGGGGTCACGTGACCTCGGGGGGGTCACGTGACCTCGGGGGATCACTTGACTTCGGGGAGGGGTCACGTGACCAGGGGTGGCCTTGGGGGTCACCTTGGGGGTCACGTGACCTTGAGGTGACCTTGGGAGGAATCGTGTGACCTCGGGGAGTCACGTGGCCTGGAGGGGTCACGTGACCTTGGGAGGGGTCACGTGACCTCGGGGGCCACGTGACCTCGGGGGGGTCACGCGACCTCCCTCACGTGACCTCGGGGATCACGTGACTTCGGGGAGGGGTCACGTGACCTGGGGTGGCCTTGGGGGTCACGTGACCTTGAGGTGACCTTGGGAGGAATCGTGTGACCTCGGGGAGTCACGTGGCCTGGAGGGGTCACGTGACCCCTCCAGGTCACGTGACCTTGGGGTGACCTTGGGAGGGGTCACGTGACCTCGGGGGCCACGTGACCTCGGGGTCACGTGACCTTCAGGGGGTCACGTGGGGTCACCTTGGGGGTCACGCGACCTTGAGGTGACCTTAGGAGGGGTCACGTGGCCTTGGGGGTCCCGTGACCTTGAGATGACCTTGGTTACGGCGACGCCGACGCCGCTCAAGCCGGAAGCGGGCCCCTAAGAGCTGCGCTCTAAAATGTGAATAGTGCTGTTCTTATCGAAGTGAATATCGAAGAACATATTTTTCAGAACTACTATTAAAAATTTGGAATATTCTCACAACCCCAATATTTTTTTACCCGGTAAAGCTGCCGCGAGATGTTCATAACCAAGGTTTGTTTGATTAAATATAGGGTCAGTGTACCGGAGTCTGTTCCCATCGACCTTCAAGGCTGCTAGCACTGTTTTTTTGGCTCTACTGCTTTATCGAATTACCGCTTATGTTGAATTCTTTTGCCATCCCGTTGACTTCGTTATAAAGAGGGATTATATTGTACTTAACAAGTCTCACAGCCTAGGACTATCTGTGGTATCCCCTGAAATTTAGTTATAACCTCGGGGCAGTCAAGTTCGGTGCGACACGTTGTGCTATCTAGCTCAAGACATTTGCAACACCGGGAAGGCCCTTTTGCCAGCCTGCTTGCTCATGGGGGGGGCTGTTCACGCATCAATTTGAAGGTGTTGATTCGTGCATTTTTGGTCTTTTATTTTGAACATTGCTGTCGGATGTCGCGGAAGATCAAACTTCGAAGCTGCAGGCACTGTTGCTTACCGAACTGTCGCAACCTTGGAAGCTTAGCAGGCGTGTAGCTCCACAGGTTCCCGTCGAGAACGTGGAAAATACAACGCCGTCGGAGATAACTACATTCCGTAAAACATGTAAAATAAGCATTCTGTTCACATTACCTGACTTGGGATGGATTTCTAAATGCGGTATTTCTCTCTATATTTCGAATTAATGCGCTCAAAGCCCGGCGTTGTCTTTGGACTCAATGCGATGACCCTAGAGTCAGATCAGTCTTTTAACACTCTCATTGCTCCCTGCTTCAAGGACACATCTTGATCGAACAATGTTTTTAGGACGTTTGATCGTAGTTACTGAAAATCAAAGTGAGCGTTTTCTCCGGTCGTGGAGCGGGCTGTCGTTTGTGCCTTTAGCGTGATCTGCCCAAGATGGTAGCTCTATTTCGACCCGTGTCTATGCGGTTCTAACTTCATCCCCGCTGCGAGCACACAGTCTACTCGAGAAATAAAGAAAAGATGTAGGTATACTTACCCCACGAGTACAGGTTACTCATGTGGCGTTTATTTGTGTTCTATGTAAAAGAGCACAGCATATTCAATTGACGAGATTGAGTATCAGCTTGCGACGAGTAACTGCGTGCGACACCGTCCAAACTACTGCCAGCTTGCACGAAAGACACATTCCTCGGACAGCATAATCTTCTTCAACACGACGATGAGGGGACTGGAAACAAGCTGATCCCAGAAGTGAGGTCAGCTATTCATGTGGGAAAAGATCACTTGGAAAAGAAAGGGTAGGTGAGGGTGAAGGTGAGGGAAGGGGAAGCAGGCACTTTTAGTTCCACTTTTGTAGAGGAGGGGAGCTCGACGAAGTCTTCGCTTTTGTAAGTTTGTGGCGTGCGCAAACAGTGTAAAAGAAAAAAGAAGCAAACTGCCCTTGTCTACTCGCTTTCACTTATACTTGGCCGTAATATCAGAATGTTCAACTTTGTTCTGCTAGTTCCTGTTTTGGGTTGTCTCAATCTATTATGGAAGGCACCTACTAAAACTCCCTAATGCTAGAACCATGCCTGCATGCACATTTATATATTTAATGTTTGATAGATTCTTAAAACAGTCGGTAATTTAGCGCGCGATTACACAACGCTCAGAGTTGGTGATAACGTAATCTCGCAAGGGTACGCCGGCGGCGCTGCCGATTTTAGCCGTCCCAGTGTTGCCTCATTTGACCACGGTGGCGCTCTGGAACCCTGCTTCTTCGAGTCGGTCATTCTTACTTATCGCACAAATATCTTCTTAGTGGGGAAGACGCTCCAGTGTGTGAGCATTGTGGGGATACGCTCACCATCATGCATATCTTGTGGCTCTGTCCAGCTTTGGACACGTTGTACTCACTTTTCTGAATTGTTTCACTTCCAGATCCCATTCCATCCTGCTCTTTTACTGGGTGAATATCGCCTCATCCCGATTTGAGCCTGTGTTGTCTTCTATTACTAGCACAGGTTTTATTAATCAGATCTAGTCCTGCAGAGCCACTTGTTATTTTGTAGCACATTAACAATAACAGCTTGTTTTCTTTTTTAATTTTGTTTGGCACTGTATGGCCTCCGTAGCTGTTGCGCCATAAAACCCCCAAACAACAACGACAACTCTGGAACCTTGCCGAGCGCCTATACGGGA